CGGGCTGCCCGACAAGAGGCCATGAGGGTTCTGATGAACATGACCATGCGCGAGGGCACTCCCGTAAGCGAACATGTTCTTGCTATGATGACCCAGCTGAATGAGCTGGAGGTTCTTGGGGCTTTTATTGACGGGGAAACCCAGGTCGATATAGTGCTCCAGTCTTTGCCGAAGAGCTTCGAACAATTCCGGTTGAATTACAACATGAATAAGATGTTGATGACTCTTCCAGAACTTGTTGTGAACTTCAGTCGACAGAGGGCTTGTTTCGTCAGAAGACCCAAGCTATGGAAGCCCAGCGGGAAGAAGCTTCCACTTCTAAGGCTCCTAAGGGCAAGAAGAGGAAGAAGTTCGCAGGAAAGGGCTAGGCGGTTATGAGTGACGCGCAACCTCAACAAAAAGCGAAGAAGCCGAAAGGCAAGTGCTATAATTGTCAGCAGAAAGGACACTGGAAGGCAAACTGCCCTCTTCCCAGGACTTAAAACGTATTCTTCAAATACGTTTAATATGTAAAACGTATTTTGGTAATCCGTTTTAGTTTATGTTAATTAAGATTAATTATCTTAATTATATTTTTTAACTAAAACGTATTCGAGAAATACGTTTTAAATATGAAAACGTATTCTTGGAATACGTTTTACAATAAAAAAACGTATTTCGAGAATACGTGTGTTTGATTTTTGTCCACACATTTTTATTTTTTTGTCCACTTAATTTTTTTTTTAAATAAACAATAAATTCTATATTTTTGTGACTACTACTATGGCTAAATAACAAAAATATTATCTATGATTTTATATTTCGATTAAACAATAAAAAATACGACGACTGCACTTGCATGGAACCTTCGTTTTAAATTGAAGGATCAAGGAAGTAATGTATGTCTCCAAATTTGGAGAGAGAACAAATGTATAAGTGTACCAAACCACTTAGTAAGAGTACGTGGTCATTTGTGTGTTACATCAATACATGGTCATGCCATAGTACACAAAACTTCACTTATAGCCGTCAATATCTTCTCATGTAAGGGCTTGACACGTAGCCCCACTAGGTTTCTTGGGCAAAACATGTAGCTCGAGATAGCATATAGGAGCCGTAAAAATATATATGATACAAAAATTAATGAAATAAAATAAAATTATTGTAAATAAAATAAAATAAAGTATAAATGTAAATTTAATACAAATTAATTAATTAAATAGTAATAATAATAACTTGCAATAAATTAAATTAATTTAAAAATGATGAAAAAAATTAAATTAAAATAAAGTAAGATAAAATTTGATATAGTATTGTGATTAAAATTAAATAAATATACATTTATAATTATTAAAATAAATTTAATTATATAAGTCTTAAATGAAAAATAATATAAAAATCAATTTAAAAATAAATGAAATTAAAATAGACTAATTTAAATAAAATAAAAACAATAATTATCTAAGATAATAAAGAATAAAAATGATAAATAAAATAAACAACCAAAATAACTTATTATGAAATAATAAATTAAAAAAATAAAAAAACGTAACTTAACTTAATAAAATAAATTATATATACATTTTGAAATGAAAAATAATAGTAATGAAAACTGAAAATAAATGACATTAAAATTAACTAATTAAAATAAAATAAAATAATAATAATAATAATAATAATATAAAATAATAAAGTGTAAAAATGGTTAAAGTAAAATAACTTATGTGAATAAAAATATTAAATTAATATAATAAAAAAAATTATAAGTTAATAAATAATTTTTAATATTATTTACTCTTACATACAATATGAAAGAAAAAAATTGAAATAAATTATATTTTTTCAGTAGATGATTTAACTATAAATAAATAGTTTTAATTTCTATGTTTTATTTAGTAAAATTTATTTTAATTTTATCTGTGTTGTTATACGAAATTTAACAACTACCAAATAACGCCCGAACCACACCCCCTGTTTCGGCTAGTGGTGTTTGAGATTTGAGACTTTGTCTGTCTTAAAAATTCTAGATTGAATACACTAAATTGGGTGTACTCGCGTGAGATTTCATATAACATTTTGAACTTTTTGATATTTGAGAATTCTTAAGATTTTCAGACATTTTATTGATTAGACTAGTTTATATTTTGTTTATTTTTTAACTATAGTTAATTTTGAAAAAAAAAAATGACATGTTTAGTTGTTAGTGGATATATTAAAATAATAAATGAAAAAAAATGACATGGTTAGTTGGAAGTAAGAGCATCTCCAATGCTATAGTTTTGAAAGACAATAATTTTTAACACATGTCAATCAATGATTGTAATGTTAATCCACGTAGGAATAATGTTAAAAGAGTAGAAATTTGAATCAAATTAGTATCTCCAATGCATCAATTTGATAAGAAGTTATTTGTATAGGTGGACCAATTCAAATAATTATTAATACAAAATAATAAAAAATTAAATCAAATATAAAGTGAATTGATTAGTCATCATGTTTAACATGGTGTTAGATATTAGAATGTGTGCTCAACATTGTCAACATTAAATGCTATCCACATCATCATGAAAGAGCTCATGACAAGATGCATTAGAGAACAATTTAGTAACACGCTTTCAAATGTTGATGATATGAATGAATTTTTATAATGTCAAAGGCAACATTGGAGATGCTCTAATAGTTAGTTAGAATTATGTGAGTGAATGAATAATGAATTAAAGTTGACGTGATGTGTAAGAATATTAGTAGATATTATTAATTATATTGATATATTGAAGATAGTGAGGTTGAGTTAAATTTAAGTTTTGATTAATTTTTTTACTATTGAATTTATATACAATCACACCCTAAGAAATCTAGTGAAATTTTAGTAGGTGAAATTTGAGGTGATATGTTTTTTTTTATAGAAATCCAGCAAATCTTATAAGTCTCAAATAACTTAAATACCATAATTTTGTAAGATTTTTTTAAAAACTTATATGAATACACCCAAGACACTTAGAAAGTCTTAAAAAATCCAAAATTAAATACGCAATATTTCTGATGTATTAAAAGGTTTTTAGAAAAGCCTTAATATTTTTTTTTTTTAAAAAAAAAAACTCAAATGGAAATAAAAGTAATAATTTATTCGTACTCCAGTATGAATACATTTGTCTTTTTTCTATTTCTTTGACCATTTTCATTTTTCCTTGCGTCAATTTTTTGTTTCAATTTTCCCCTCTCATTGTGAGCATGGTGTAAATGTCCGAGTAGCACTATCGTGTGCCCTAACACACCTAATTAGGTGTGCCATTGCACTCGCCTCCATCACCCTAAAAACAAGAAAATTTGGAGAGTGTAGTGCACATTCCTATTTTTTTTTAATTGAAAAATGAGACATATTACACAAATTAAGATATCATTAATTATTTATATTAAAAAAATAAAATATAAATACCAAAATTCATAATTTTTTATTATCTATAAACAGAGACTACATTTGATAGGTTTTTAAATACAACTAATTTTTCGTTTTTTAGTAATTATTTTATTATACTGACATATATTGAACATGTTACATAATAAAATGAATATGTTTTCAAATATGATGACATGTTACAGATTGCAGATTGAAATAATACATATTCATCTTATTTTATAACATGTTCACCTTATTGTGTATGTAACATGTTCATCTTATTCTATAACATGTTCATTTTATTATGTAACATGTTCACCTTATTGTGTATGTAACATGTTCATCTTATTCTATAACATGTTTATTTTATTATATAACACGTTCATCTTATTTTAAAACATGTTCATCTAAATTTCATCTGTGAAAATGTAACATTTTTTCTTATTCTATGACATGTTCATCTTACTCTATAACATGTTCATCTTACTATGTAACATATTCATCTAATTATAGATTTATGTCATAATCTTCCAATAAGATAAATTAATTGTAAAAAATGATAAATTAATTATGTTCCAAAAAAAAAATCAAATGTGGTCTCTATTTGTAGAGAATGAAAAATTATGAATTTTGGTATTTTTCTGCAGAGTATTTTTGTTTATCTTGAGTTTATTTTTTTGCCACATATACAAAAAGAGACTCAAAACATTGTGGGTGCTGGACTTAAGTCTATTTATTTTCATATGAAAAAAAAAAAAAAAACCCAAAGCTCTTACCTCGCTTTTGGTACATTATTTGCGGTACATGTCCTGCGCTAGGGTTTCAAAATTCCGTTTTCCTTCAAATTTTCCATCTTTATGTTTCGGTGATTGTTTTTCTTGAGGCGGGCATTTGTATAACCGTAACCGCGTCAAGGTACCTTCGTGCGGTTCACTGAATTACATTTCCGTATTATTATCCGTGCGATCCCATTCTGTTCGTTGGAATTTTGCCAAACATTATTTATTTTTGTTTATTTTTACTTGGGCCTCTTGATTTGGGTTTCGATTATTGCTAAAAAATTGGTATTTTTCTTTAATCAGCCTGATTTTTCCTTTTCTTTTCCTTGCGGGCGACATTCGGAAAGTTTCGACCTTGATCGTGAGATTTGATGATTTATCAACTAAAGTTGTTTGGTTCTCTAACGTTTGTTTGTTGTTTACATGTTTTATGAACGAGTGGCTTGTGGGTTGTATTTGCTTTGAGATGTTAAATTTAAGTCAAAATCATATGCTTTTGAAACTGTATTTTTGAGATGTTTTTTTTTTTTTTTTTTTTTTTTTTTTTTTTTTTTTTTTTTTTTTTTTAAGTCAATATCATATGCTTTCGAAAATATGTTTAGAAGTTGGCAGCTACTATGACTAATCTAAATTTACTCTAAAACTAACTATTAAATCAGGATGGTTGAAGTGTAATAATCACTTGTTTCCAGGGCAACTATTTCAGTCCCTATTCATCTGTAACAAAAACAGATCTCTTCAATTCGTTCATCTCATTTTCTGATCTATCGCTCTTTCTCCGGTCCAATTCTCCGCGATCGACATAACGTACACAACAGATACATACATATTCTTAGCCGGCCGAGATGTGGCGGTGTCTGTCCCGTGCCCTCACCATCCCTTCCAACAAATCCGCCTCCGTCAAGTCCATTACTCGCCTCTTCTCTGCTCAATCGGTAGGTTTACGATTTTTTTCATTCTAAAAAAAAAAACCTATTGTTTATTTCTCTGTATTGATGTATTTGGGGAATTTTTAGCTTTCTGATGACCTGCTTGGACTTTGAATTAATATTTTGTGTGATGATTTTCAAACAGAATGGGGGAACTCAATCCTATACAGTTGTGGATCACACCTACGATGCGGTGGTGGTTGGTGCCGGAGGTGCAGGGCTGAGGGCCGCAATAGGGTTATCCGAGCATGGGTTTAACACAGCCTGCATTACGAAGCTATTCCCTACTCGCTCCCATACGGTTGCTGCACAGGTAATCTAACTATTTATATCTCTACGTTGTTCAGTTTGTCTTCTTTCTTTCTTTATTTCTTTCCTTTTTCTTAGTGGCAGCATATGGACTCATTTTCTTCTATATCATTTATTTGTTTCTAATTTCTAATGTTATTTTACACTTTCCATGGAGCTAGTATCCAGATATAATGGCAGCGATGATCTAGAAATTGAGGATGTTATCACTTTAATTGCGCTATTTCCTTATTCTCTGGCTCTTGCATACAGTAAACAATTGGATTTGTATCACTTCTTTTTTTTTCTAAACCTTGTAGGTAGCTTCCACGAGTTTCGTTACTCTTATCAATAAAGAAAATAGAGACATTTGTGTACTTGAGAAAAGAAATTGCATGTGCTTCTTTAGATACAGCTTTGCCTATTATTTTTTTTTGTCTTCTCATCAACATATTTGCCTTTCCTGTGAGAAGTTTTATGTTTATACTATTTAATTTATGTTACTTAAAGTCCAGTTTGCTACAAATTTCTCTTCTGGTCTACATATGCTCTTTAGTGTTATCAAATTCCCGTCATGGCTGTATGGCATGGAGAATTTCTACTTAACCACGGTTAGAAATTTGTGAAGGACGGGGGCTATGGTGGAGCCACTATAGCCGAATTTCAGTGTGCCGCCAATTTCTGTCATCCGCCATTAATAACACTAATGTACTTCTGATTTATAACGGTTGATATGTTATGCAGGGTGGAATAAATGCTGCATTGGGAAATATGACAGAGGATGATTGGCGGTGGCATATGTACGATACAGTGAAGGGAAGTGATTGGCTAGGTACAGTGATCGTCCAGATAAACTTGTCTTGTGAGACTCTTTATTATGCAGTATCTGGTTGCCTATGTGTGCTGTTGTCCATTATATCATTGCTGTTATCCTTTATCTCTCTGTAGTCTGTAGATGATTGACCATTACAGGTTTGCTGTATTGGTTGTGATTATGTCATTATAATAATAAATAGACATTTTATATACAAAAGAGTTAATATGAATAGCATTAATGTTATCCTTTATCTGTGTAGAGGGTTGTCTAATTTGTCATAATGTTATCTAAAAGAGATGATTTCATATACCAGAAAACTAAGGCAGCCTCAGTGTCATAATCCGTTACATGATTTATTTCTTTGCATCGGAATTCATGCTTTCGAGGCATGTTCTTAGTTCTTATTAAGGGATTGCATCTTTCATTCGACTATGCTGCATAAATAATTTACGTTTTCTTTTAAATAAAATCGATGTTCTAACCTCGACGAACCCTGGCCTTAGATCGAAATCCAAAGGTATCTGATTTTACTAATTTTCTGTTAGGTCTAAATCTAATGTGAAACAAGCCGGACTTGTGTAGGGATTAACCATCAGGAATTATATTTTTTCTTGTATAAATACGGGTATTTTATCTTATTTTCCAAATTAATTGGAATGTCTAAGAAACCAAAAATATAACTAGCTTGACAAGATTTGATATATTTGTATAATGTTGTTGTTTCAAGTTTTAAACCAATTTAGTAAGATATTTTTAGGTTCAATATAATTCATTGCAAGTCTGAAACGTGGTATTGCTCTTCCCACAGGAGACCAGGATGCCATTCAGTACATGTGCAGAGAAGCACCAAAAGCAGTTATAGAACTTGAAAATTATGGGCTGCCGTTCTCCCGGACGGAAGATGGGAAGATTTATCAGCGTGCATTTGGTGGCCAGAGCTTGAACTTTGGAAAAGGCATGGCCACATGTTGCGTTTCAGCGAAACACATTTCTATTTTCTTTGACAGACTATTTAATTTGTCGATTTGTATTTCTACAGGTGGACAAGCATATCGTTGTGCATGTGCTGCTGATCGAACTGGACATGCTTTGTTGCATACTCTATATGGCCAAGCTATGAAACATAATACACAGTTTTTTGTTGAATACTTTGCTCTGGATTTAATTATGAGCAATGATGGTTAGTTATCTAAATTCCTTCCGCATGTATTTCATCTGATCATGTGCTTGCTCTTAAAATTAACCTTTCACTTCGCTGTGTCACCTTCGAACGTTCTTCATCTGGATATTGACAAACAATAAATTTTTCAGTATCCAAACTGTAGTATGCATCTTTTAGTAGTCATTCCCAACTTCTTAGATCGTTTTTGCTGATTGATATCAGGTAGCTGCCAGGGTGTGATTGCTTTGAATATGGAGGATGGCACCTTGCATCGTTTCCGTGCTGCCTCGACAATTCTTGCTACTGGGGTAAACTATATATTGTTGAACAATATTACTAGAATATAATTAATGCTTCAACATCGCCTTTTCAGATTGTTTAAGTTACTTTGGTAAAGTGGCTTGTTCTAATGTAACTTTCAGGGTTATGGCAGAGCATACTTTTCTGCAACTTCTGCTCACACTTGCACTGGAGATGGCAATGCTATGGTTGCGCGTGCGGGACTGCCCCTTGAGGTTTTGTATAATGTTACTAATTATCTGCTAGTAAATGGTATTGGAAGGGACATGTTTTACCTGAATGACTCATGTAGTGGATTATTCTCCACGTACTGATGTAGATTTCTTCTTGCAGGATCTTGAGTTTGTTCAATTCCATCCAACAGGCATATATGGTGCTGGGTGTCTTATTACTGAAGGTTCTCTTGTTTTGTCCTTACTCAGATTTATTCTATATATCCCAAATCAATCGTGTGACTTTCTTTCCTCACTTAAACTTTTCAGGGTCCCGAGGTGAAGGTGGTATTCTGAGGAACAGTGAAGGTGAAAGATTCATGGAGCGGTATGCCCCAACTGCTAAGGACCTTGCATCTAGAGATGTTGTATCAAGATCTATGACGATGGAGATCCGGGAAGGGCGTGGTGTTGGTATGTAATGAACAAATGGTAGAATGTGGTTGATTGAAATTTGGATATAGTAACTTTCTTTAAATGGTTCCAAGTACCTGATGTTCATCAGATTTACCTTTATTGGCAAGCTACGCATGCTAATGTTTGAGAAGCATTCTGTTGAAGTTTGTACCTGCCTATGTCAATAATGCAACCATTCACTCGTCTGGCGTTGCTTATTACTTGTTATAAGTAAAATCAGTCGATGTAGTGTTGATGCCAGACCTTCCACTGAATTTTCCTGTTTTTTGAATGCAAGCTTGGCCGTGAATTTTCCCCCTTTTTGAATGCAATCACTCCCTACATTTAATGATTGCCAGTTGCCACCAAACTTGGCTGTCTTTTGAATGCTATCACTTTCTACATTATATGCTTACCGCCAAAATTCACATGTTTGTTGTTTGCAAGGGTTAAAGGATATCACTTGGAATTGGTTAAATTCCTCTTTGAAGTTGTAGTTTAAATATTTATTCAGTTTCTAATGGTCGTGATGTGGACATGATTTCCTGTGCCTCACTCAATCTTTACTTGAATTACGATGTATTCACTTCTGTATCAAATTTATTGTGAAGTTTAGTTATCGCTATATGAGCCTATCATTATGTGTTGGCTGTCATTGATCCACCGGTTATGTCAATTGGCTCTTTTACTTGATCAATGCTGTTTAAATGGCATTTATGGCGTCACCATGGCAGATCTTCCCAACTTCCTCGCTAACGTTGTGAAGGATGACTGTTTTGGTGGCGCCAAGACCATTGCTAAACATTGTTCCTGAGGAACTTTATGTTATTGTTCTGTTAGGTCTAAAATGACTATTACATGATTTACACTGTTCTGAATTTCGAATATGTATTTGGATACATGTTATAGAAGATGGTTTCATGTACATTACAGTACTAAGTTCTTAATGTTTTCTACGCGACATGTCATTTGTTGCTAAAGTTTCTCCTCTCTTTCAACAGGGCCCTTGAAAGATCACATCTACCTTCACTTGAATCATTTACCTCCTGAAGTCCTAAAGGAGAGACTTCCTGGTATTTCAGAAACTGCAGCCATATTTGCTGGTGTTGATGTTACAAAGGAGCCAATTCCTGTGTTGCCGACTGTCCACTATAACATGGGTGGGATCCCCACAAATCACTATGGAGAGGTAGAAGTAATTGCATGATATTTTAGTATATCAACAGAGTACGTATTTGCTTTTCTTATTTTCTTCTTTGTGGTTAGGTGGTTACCATTAAAGGTCATGATCCTGATGCTGTGGTTCCCGGACTGTTTGCTGCTGGGGAAGCTGCCTGTGCTTCTGTTCACGGTGCCAATCGGCTTGGAGCAAATTCTCTTCTGGACATTGTTGTCTTTGGTCGGGCTTGTGCTAATAGGGTTGCTGAGATCCAAAGGCCAGGTCAATATAAGTTTGTCAGTCTTCTTGTTGATTGCCTTCTTGATGGTCCAAGAATGACGGTCTTTGAGATACATTCATTTACTTGTGATAAATACTGCAGGCGAGAAACAAAAGCCACTAGAAAAGGATGCTGGAGAGAAGACCATTGCATGGTTGGACAAGATTCGTAATTCAAATGGGTCACTTCCCACATCAAAAATCCGGCTTAACATGCAACGCATAATGCAAAACAACGCTGCTGTATTTCGGACCCAAGAAACGCTGGAAGAAGGTAAGCTGCAACAGGACATTGTTCTCCTGTTATTACTTGCAATTTCACATATGACAGGAAAATATTTTAATGGATCCATCCTGTTGCATCTTTTTTGTATATTTAAGGCTGTCAGTTGATTGATAAGGCTTGGGAGAGTTTTCATGACGTCATGTTGAAGGACAGAACCTTGACATGGTACTTTTTTTCATCTAGTTATATCTATTGCAAGTTGTTAATTTTTTATGTAATGTACTTACTTTGTCTTATTCCTTTCAACTTATTTTTCCAGGAACTCGGACTTGATAGAGACAATTGAGTTGGAAAACCTTTTAATTAATGCATGCATCACCATGCACTCTGCTGAAGCCAGGAAAGAAAGTAGAGGAGCCCATGCACGTGAAGATTTTACGGTGGGTGCTAAAACATATTGTGAATGATCATTATCATTAGTATTATTCTGAATGATCCTTGTCATCATTATTATAATTCTTTTGTTCTTTCTCTTTTGGGACTAAAAGGCTTTGTTGTTGTTGTTGTTGTTGTTTCTCTTTTGCGGATTTGTGGGAACTGAGTTTTATTTGCCAGTTGCTCATATTTTTTCTCACAACTGAGTCTTAACTGGTTTGCCTTGCAGAAAAGAGATGATGAGAACTGGATGAAACATACATTAGGGTAAGCTTTCCTTTCTCATTTTTTTTTTTTTTCTTCTTTTCTTCCTAGCCAGTTGTTCGAATACGCTATAGGTTCAAACATTAGCTATACAAGTTCTTGACGACTTGTTAGTCACTGATTTGGACATTCTCTTATAATAGATTAGAATTGTTTCATGTAATTGTTAGAACTGATCTCAGTGAGGCAAGATACCTGGAGTTAGTGGTGGCCAATTTGTGCATGAAAAACAATGTGTGATGTTATAGTGATAAATGCTTCCTGGTCAACAAGTTACTTTTGCCAATGCCTGTTTTGTTTGATGAACTCATTTCTTGCTCCGCAGATATTGGGAAAACGAGAAAGTTAAACTGGACTACCGACCAGTTCACATGAATACACTTGATGATGAAGTTGAATCCTTTCCTCCAAAAGCTCGAGTATACTAGCAGGCTTGCTGGTAATGCGAGGAAAATAAATAAGGATTGTTCTGCTAAGGCAAAGGCTGAAATAAATTAATTGAAGGGGCAAAACTCTAATAAATATAGCTTCCAGCCAAATTTTGCATATTTGTTGAAGCATGAACACAAAGCAAAATGTTGCTTTTTTGTACTGTCACTAGTAATTTATAATTCTAATATTATGCCCTGCATTGTCACGCCTTTATTGATTTAAAATGTCATGGCGAGTATTTTTTAGCGATATATCGTGGGTGAAAATGTTTTGTAATGGAGTAGTTTGCAATTTCAGTATCAAAGTGATTGTATTGGGGGATTATTGTTGGTCTTGCAAAATGCAGTACATATTTTGTTGGTATTATAGAATAACAAATATTGGATTGTCGTTGAGAGGACGTGAGTATGAGATATATGCGGAGAGACTCACTGAGACTCTCATATTACAACAGCTCCCTTTAAATCCAACACTCACATTTCTCTTGATTCATATTTTTTGAGAAAAGTCTTGTGCGAGTCCTTGTTATCGAGTTTTTCTATTCATTTCAATAAGCTTGATTTATTTTGTTGTGTGGTGAGGCAAGAGGTTATTCGTGATCTCAGTGAGTGAGCAATTTTATATGCTCCGAGTTTTGTGTTCGGGAGAAATGCTTAGAACGAACTCGAGGGATTTGAGTTGTAAAAATCCACAAGGTATTTGTGGTCGGAAAAGTAGTGTAGTGACTAGTGAGTGATTACAAGATAGGTAGTGAAGAGGGGGTCTTCATTGTAAATCCGATTTGTAATGGGTCAAACATTCATGCATATGAAAGAGTTCTGGATGGAGAGTTGGATGCTCCCCTGAAGGTTCTTGTTTTGTAAAACTCTGCCTTTGCAATTGTGTAAACTTACATCTAAGTTTACTTGTTATACTTAGAGCAATTCTGGTATATCCTTCACAATCTCAATTTGTATCAGACCGGGTTCTCGTATACATGCACAAAGATTTTGAGGATATGTACAATGGAGAACCATGAATCATGATGGTGGATCTATGTCTAGACCTCCACGATTGGATGGTTCGAACTATTCCTATTGGAAAATGTATGATGATTATTTTCCTGAGATCGCTTGGCAAAGGAGCTTGAGAAAGTGTTGAAAATAGGTGGACGCATCTAGTCACAAGAGAAGAATTTGACCTAGGGAAAGAAGCTTCATCAGTAGTGGTCCCTGAACTGAGAGACCTGTGTACAGATGTCGAAGAACTACATAAAGAAGCGAATTTTCGAGCCGTGTACGCAACTTTGATGGCCGTGGACCAGAGGCAACGCAAAATGATAGTTCATTGCAAAACAGCGAAAGATGCATGGTGGGTCCTAGAACGTCAGTTCGAAGGTTCAACGACAATAAAGGCGTTTAGACTTCAACGGGGTGACCATAGCATTTGATGAGATCAAAATGGAGGATGAAACTATTGATATGTACTATGCCAGATTTTGTGATCTAGTGAATCAAAGTAAAATTCTTGGAGAGGAGATTTCTGAAAATCGTTAAGTTCAGAAGATAATGCGGACAATAACGACTCGGTTCTGAGAAAGATCACAGCTCTTGAAGGTTTTCAAAGAATCAAGCCACTGGATCTTGATGATCTTATTGGAGATCTCAGAATGTTTGAGATAAAAAATGACTACGATAAAATCAAGAACAAAGGACCTGCCCTTAAAGCTATTGTGACGTCACGGAAAGAGAACAATGATAATGATGAAGGTTCAGTTGAGGAAGATAGTAAGGAAGTGTTGATACACATTTTTGGCCTCGCCTACTAAAATACTACACGTGGATAT